AATGGGGGTGGGGGTGTTGGTCTCTGCTTCCACTTCCCCCCTCCCTCCCTTCTTGCTGCCTCCCCTCTTCGCGGGACCTGTTTCGGTGCCCGGAGGACGGACCCGGTGCGGGGGGGGGGACCCTTTTTGGTTCTGGATAGGGCTGGGGAGGGGAGCGGCGCCAGGTTCTAAGGGAGCCCAGGGATTGCATTTCTTAGGGAATACTATATATATATATGAGATATACAGTACATATCTCTCTCATGGCTGCTGAGCGGTCCTGCAGTGACCTCTCCTTGGTTTGCCTCCCTAGGGGCCCTTCCGCAGAGTTTGGGCCGGAGGTGGGCAGCCTCCAGTCCCCTTTCTGAGGCAGCACCCCATAAACTGGCGAAGGGCAGCACCCCCCCCCTTTACGGGCTTCCCAAGCCTCTTCTGAGTTGGAGAGCACACACACACCCAAGTTCCAGCGGGCAGTTGCCCAAAGGCCAGCCAGCTTTCCCCCACACACACACTGTGGCCGTGCTGCACCCGAGGCCCCCTGTAGCGCCCCCACCCCCCAGCCTGGCTGTCCTTGGTCTGCCCTCACCTCCCCTGCCCTCCTTTCCGGTCCTGAACCGAAGGGAGAGCGACGGTCGGTCGTCCCAGACAGTCCAGAAATAGAAGAGGAAAACACTTGTGTGGGAGGATCTCAGCAGGAGCTCCTTTCATCTCCAGAGTTTGCAAATTCACAACTCCGGATAAGTTGCATTACAAAACACGGTTCTTCCAGAGGGAAGAAAGTGGCCCTGCCCCTCTGCTACCTGTCCCCCAGCATCAGGTAGACTGCACTCCACCATGGAGGGTGCATGGAGTAACAAGCCACCGATAAGAAGACTTGTGCTTCCTTTCCTAGGTATCGCTTGGCTCGCTCTCTCATTCATCCCACCCACCCCCTCCCCAGAAGTTTTCCCGGCGTGCGGCTGTTTGAGAGATGGAGGAGAAAAAGAAGAAGAGCGCCAAGGCCCAGCCCATGCCCGCGAGTGCCCTCCGCAAGCTGCCGGTGCCGGCAAGCAAGAGCACCTCTTTCTCCTTGGGAATGCCGCACCTGCCTTCTCCAAAGCAAAGGGCCAAGTTTAAGAGGTCGGTTTATGGCAGGGGCCAGAACCTTGCAGAGTGTCCTCTGTAGGAGATCCGAACCCAGACCCCAGACAGTGGGGTTGTCCCTCGGCCGGAATTTGATTCTTTTAGCCTCTGGCCCAAACATGCAGGTGTAGGTCGGGTTTTGTTTCTTAGTTTTCCGTGTCGGATATTTTCTACATATCGGTGCCATTTTGACCTTATACTGTACTTTTTTTGTCTCTGTTATTTTTTTTTTTTTAAGCTGGTTTCCACCGCTCAGAGACCCTTTGCCTAGGATCTGGGTTATTTTGCATATTTAGCAAGTGAGCGGAGAATAATTAGCAGACCAGAAGAATGTTGATTCTTTTAGCCTCTGGCCCAAACACGAAGGTGTAGATCGGGTTTCGTTTGTTAGTCTTCGGTGTCGGATATTTTCTACATCTCGGTGCCATTTTGACCTTATCCTTTTTTTGTCCCTGTTTTTTTAAAAAAAGCTGCTTTGCACCACTCAGGGACCCTTCGCCTAGGATCTGGGTTATTTTGCGTATTTAGCAAGTGAGCCGAGAATAATTAGCAGACCAGAAGAATGAAAGGAATCGCCTGTGGCGATCATGTCCAGGAAAGACACCACACTAGCAGCCTGTTTCAGCAAAACAAGAGAGAGTTTAACAGATAAGCTCGTTTTTATGACCTGGAGCTCACTCAATCAGATGCTAAGAGCAAGGGGACTACGGTCCACGGAAACAGC